TAAAGAGCAAACTGCATTTGGGAATTTCCCCTCCCGACTTAACATTTTTATTCCTAAGTAAACATTACTGAGAGTGAGAATGAAGCAAAACGTCATTGATAATAAGTCAGACCACGTGAACAAGAAATAGGTGGTTTGAGTTTATGGTTACGGGGGTGTCCATGCCAGCATGTGGGGGCTAGGGAGGTTGGCTCAGTGGTTAAGAGCCTTTGCTGCACTTGCCGAAGCCCTAACTTCAGTTCCTAGGACCCACGTAAGGTGGCTCACGACTGCCTGCTGTTCCAGCGTCAGCGGCTCTGCTGTCCCCTTCTGACCTCTGCTGGTAACTGCACCCAGATCTCATTCTAGATGATTGGGAGCCGCCATGTGGGTGCTGGGAATTGAAGTCAGGATCTCTGGAAGAGTGGCCAGTGTTCTTAACCCTGAGCTGTCTCTCCGGCTCCCAAAATAGGTCAGGATTTCAAATATCAAGTGCCTTGGGAGTTACATTTTAATCTGGGTTTCCTTGAACACTACAAGAGAATGTAGGTCAGTTTGGCAAACTGCAGATGCCGCTTCACACTCAAAGCTATAGGCAAGCACTTAGACTTGCAGGGTGAAATGCAGACTTGTTAGCAAGCAGATGGAACTGTCGTTCTGCAGACAAACGTGAGGAGGTGGCTCAGCTGGCAGAGTGCTTGTTGTACAATTATGAGGACCTGAGTTCGAATCCCTCACATCTATGTGAAAAGTGTGTTGTGTGCTCCATAATCTTCATGCTCAGGGGTGGAGATCTCAGGGCCTTGCTGGCCAGCCTGACTAGCTGAATCAGTGGGCTCCAGATTCCGAGACCCGTTTCAAAAACAAAACAAAACAAAACAAAACAAAACAAAACAAAAAGGTAGAGTGACAGAGGAAGACATCTGTTGTCAATCTCCAGCCTCCACATGTGTGTGCAGGTGAACGTGTAGACACATGTACACAATGACACACGCAGACAGAGGCAAACAAAGCAGTTTCATGTGGTTCAAGATGACAGCTAAGGCATCTGTAAACAGTTTTAATGATTATTAACATACTTGTTTCATTTTGTACTAAGCTGTTTTCCTTCCCATGCTGATAGGAGAAACATTTTCACAGTAAGCCAAGCTATAAACCAGCACGAAGTCTTCTGAAAGGACTTCGAGCTTGTTGCTGCAGTCTGTTTTCCGTTTGGAGAGGGGTTAGCCCTCTGAAGGGCAGATAATTGGGAAATCAGCTGCAGCTGTCCCAGCAAGGTTGCTCCGGGTGAAAAAGACACAAGACAAAACCCACACAGGGGGTGGAACCAGGCCGGGGACTCACTAGGGTAGCACTATTTCTGAAATGAGGACTTAACAAATTATGATCTCTGCTTCATTGCCTGATCCCATGAAAGACTAAAGCTTCAATTTAACCACAGGCAACAGGAGTTTCACACTGTTGCTACCAACTGTCTCCTCTCCGGGAGTGGCGTGGATCAAACCAAAGATCTGCATGCAGGTTAGCTTGGTAACTGTCTGTGATCTCAGATTCCTGATTTGGCTAGCCTTTGAATCTAATGTTTTCCTTTTGGCCTTTACATTATCACGCTGAAATGAGATAGCACTTCTTTTCAATTCTCTGCTTTGAAGAATGTAACAGCTTTGGGTGCTGGGGCATGCCTGCCTTTATTCCCAGCACCAGTGAGGCAGACGCAGATGGATCTCTGGGTTCAAGGCCAGTTTGGTTTACAGACAGCCAGGGGCTACACAAGCCCTGAAGACCCCTGTCTCAACAAAAAAAAAAAAAAAAAAAAAGAATTGTATATAGCCACGAACCACTTAGTAAAAGGGATACACACGATATATACATATATGGATAAATTGGGTGATTTTTGGCAAGCAGACATCAGGAAGTGCGTGTGCACAGGTCCATCCAGCTGTGTGCTCAGGCTCCTATGTTTGGTACTAGGCTAGGGCCTGCAAAGTCCGTGAATAGAGAGGCATAGCTCCCCACTGCTGCCTTGAAGCCTGGGTTGTCTTCTCTTCCTGAGATCATTGATTTGGGCACAGAAAATAATCTTAGGATTAGGCAGTATGAGACAGTTGGGGCTATTGAAGGTTTTTACAGAAGACTTGATTGTGTTACTTACATGTATGGGTGTGCGCCACCCTGCAAAAGGCAGCTGGTGCCCTCGGGGGCCAGAAGAGGGTATTGGATTCCCTGGAGCTGGACTTAAAGAAGGTTGTGAGCTGCAATGTGTTGTGTGCTGGAAATCAAGCCAGGTCTTCTAAAAGAACAGCCAGTGCTCTTAAGCACTGAGCCATTCATCTCTCCAGGTATCTTAATTTAAATTTTATAAAGTGATAGTCAAAGACAGAGGTATTAGAAAAGACAAAACAAAAAAACAAAAATCTGAGAGCACGTGTGTAGGCTTAAGAGTTACACTTCATTGTTTTTATAAGAGTCATACAGAAAATTTCGAGTTTTGAAGCTATTATCTTCAGAGGGTTGCTAAGAAACCCAAATGAGTTCACAGGGTGGTTCCTAAGGGGCAGACATGATTATTAATTGTTGAGGGCAAGAGGGAGGAAATTGCTACCTTAACAAAGCTAATGTGTTGAAATTCCCAGAAAAATGTCTGGGTGAGGGAGTGAGGTCCCACAAGGCCACATACATCCAGGGGTTAGGCTTGCTTCGCTGTGCTCTTCATACAACACCGTATTGAAAAGGAGTGTTATCTCTGTGTCCGCAGCCATCACGGCAAATGTCAATTGTGCTCTAGCTTTTTCTTCCCAGAGGCTTCAACTGGACTCCCTGGTGAGGGCTTCCTTTCCATGCCCTGTGATACTTCCTTTCTGTCCTGCCTCATAATTCAGTACAGTGTGTTACCATAGTCAATAACATAGGCAACCATAGTCTAACAGAGAGCATTTGTACCTAAACATACAAGAGGTACAGTACACATTCTAAGGAATAGGCATTTCCCAGCCCATGTGGGTGTGCGCGCTGGGACCAGACCAACACACACGCCTTAGCTGATGGAAACGCTGTTATGCTGCACCTGGCTGCTCCTAGCAGGTCAGAGTCATTTAGAGAAAGGCTAATAGGCTGTCTAGGGAAGGGGCAGAATTTGAAATCTCTACAGAATCACGTCATGACTCCCCTTTTTGTTTTTTCTTAGAGCCTAATGATTTAAATCCTCGAATTTTATACTCATAAATGAAACAGATGCACTAAACAACACACAAGGGTGGAGAGGCTTAAGATATTTCATACTTAAAATATACTCCAGTTCCTTGTCCAACGCCTGTGGAGTGCATATCAGACCTGTTATATTCCGTCCTCTCAGAACTAAGCACAGTGGCCAACCTTGGTGTTTACATGCCTTCATCTAACAGAAAATGTCAATTCAATTCCTCCCCATTGAGGTTAGTCCCATTTCAACTCACTTTTTGGCTAGTGCCAGCAGAAGCCTGTCTGGGCAGCCTTCCCCAGACCTCACAAGTTTTCTGCCCTTATTCAACAGCTTTTTTTTTTTTTTTTTTGGCCCCATCTCACTTACCAGAGGATTTTATCTGTGGCTACTCAGTTTATCTGGAATGAGTTGTTTAGCCCTACATGCCCAACACTCCCAACAGACCTGCTGATAGAAGTTCTCTGCCAGGACAGCCAAAGCTTCACAGAGAAATCCTGTCTCAAAAAAGTTCTTTGACTCGTGAGAAAGTGCTGTGTAGAACCACACACTGAGCAGATGACCCCACACGAGGAAACTGGATCCAGGGTGGCAGCAGACCCTGACAGTGCTGGGCTCTCAACTGTAGCGAGTCACTGTAACCGAGGAGTGTGGCATGGTCTCCTCACACGAGCACAGGCTGTATTCCTCAGCCACTTGTTGCACACGGTTCTTCAGTCCTGTTAATACTGACCGTTCATGAGTCAAGGGTCTTATGTCACTGGGTGGCTGTGGGTCATTCCATGATGTCCTTGTATCACAGGGACCAAATTATGTCTACCTTTTATCTTTCATAGTGTAGTAAAAACACCGAGACCTTTGTCTTCAGTTCTTTATTATATTTGAACCTTTAAGAAACATATAACATCATATATACCACTATTCAGTAAAAATCTATTCTAGATTTTAGGAAGCACACTCCACAAACTATCACATTTCTGGTCTCTAAGACTACTAAAGGCTTATCAAAAAGGTAGGCTCTGATGTATGGAATCTTGAGCCTTGAGGTTTTCATCACTGTAAAATATGTGCAAGTGGATAAACTTAATTCCTCTTTTTCTTTGGGAATGGGCTAATCATACTGAAGTTTGTAGTCCAATATAAGAATATTCCATTCCTTAAGCTCTGCTGTCTATCATGACTTTGGAAAACCAACCTGGTAAAAAAGTGTTGTTACAATAAGGATGTCTCCCTTGTTACAATAAGGATGAATTTCCCAGAACGCCTGCCATATCACCTAGAATGAAAAGCACTGTAGATAATACACATGTGTTGTGCTCACTTTAATGAAGATTTCACACCAGCACTGCTCTACCAGGGACACATTTCTGCACCAGTCTGATCTATGTGTTGTTGGTTTCAGGCTACATCCTACCCTGTACGAGAACTCCTGATACCTGACAGTAGAAATAAAAAAGATACTCACATGATGTTTTCAAGAGGGCACTCTGTACAAGTACACAAGACAGGGACTTGGAAAGCTGTGGGTGGGCTGGGAAGGTTTAAAGCTCTGGCTTTGGTGAGCACCCAAGTGAGCCAAAGGAAGGCTTTTGTAAGAGCAGACTCTGCAGCATCAAAGGTAATTCTCGAAAAGAGGTGGGTGTCTTCTCATTAATCTCAGTTCTGAGGCTTCAGAAGTTGAGAGCTACCAAAAGTATCCAAAGGAAAGCGGTATTTCCACAAACCTAAGACAGCTGACTGCTTAAGCTGTCATGTTAATGGCTGAAAAGACTTTGGTGGTATCAATGGAAAAGGAAATGATTAATATACAGACCACATAACACCATTAAAACCAAAACACTTTTTTTTTCATTTAAAAAAGTTTAGGACACATAAAACAAGGCAACATTTATTCCTTCTTCTCGTCTTCTGGCATGGGGTCTGTGGGTGGCTCCTCTACTGTTGCACTGTTGCTCTCTGAGCCAGTATTACTATCACTGGTCCCTTCTACCTCCATGCTGTCAACCCCCTCCTGCCCACTCTCCTTGTCCTCAGGAGTAGACGTGCCTTCTTCACCGTTCTGTTGGCTCTCTGTTGTTTCTTCAAGGTGTGTCTCCTCTGTAATCACACATTTGCCACTGTCAGTTCCAAAACAAACATTTATGCTAACTATGCTGATGGCGTAAGATGTTCTGTCTGATATGACAGCCACTAGCCACACATGGATAAGTACCTGAAACTGACCAGTATGACTCAGGAATTTTTAAGCATATTTGGGACAAGTTAGGGTATAAAAATCTATTTTTACCTATAGATTTATAAAATTTAAATACAAACCAAACACTGAGAACTGAGCTTTTGAAATTAAGAAGTGTATAAAATACACACTAGATTTCAAATATTTGCTATGACAAAAGAATGTAAGACAGTTACAATTGTGTGTGTGTGCATGCATGTGTAGGTCAGAGAAGGACCTTACATGTTGTGTTCTTAAGAACTCTCCACCTTTCTGAGACACAATCTCTCACTGAGCTGGAAGAGACCATGTAGGCTAGGCTGGGCCCTAGGGATCTGTCCATCCCCACCTCCCCAGAGTGGGATGATAAGCATGCACCACCATGTCTACTTTTGACACACGGGCTCAAGTCCCACATGCTGAGCTCTTTCCCTAGCCTAAGAAGGTTAATAATTTAAAAAATGTTGATACACATTAACTATTTGGATGTACTGGGTTAAACGTAACATTAAAAGTAAGCCAGAGGCAGTGGCGCTGGAAGCTTTGGCTACCCAGGGGTTGACGTTAAGACTGGCTGAGTCTGGCCCATACAGTTCAACAAGACCCTGCCTGAAATAGACAAAACAAAGGCACAAAGATGAGATGCTCTGTTCAAAGTCCACTTCCTTTGCAAAGTTAAAAGCACAAGGCTTTTGACATTTCAATTTTTTTTTCTTTAGCTCCCTCTCCGTTTTCTTTTCCTTAAACTAGAAGACAGAACTCAAAATATCCAGATGCTGTCAGAGTAAGAGGGGCCTCATTCAGGGGCAAAACAGACTCAGGACTGAGCACATGGTCTGGTTGCAAGATAAGCAAAGAACTGTACTTTGATTTGCAAGCATTTGCTGTAATTACAAAAATGTACTCTAGCCCCAAATTTATGGTAAAAAACAGGTTCACAAAGACAGAAAGAGGCCCAGACAATGAAGATTAAAACCAGACTGCCTGAAGAGAACCTGCTGAGTTAATACTGAACAATACTGCTAGAGATACTGATGTTCCATTAAACATTGTCCAGGCAGCTGCTGAGTACAAAGTATGCCCATGTCCCTTCTGTTTCCTGTTAGCTTCTCTGATGGTGATCCCTAACTACCTTTGGCTTATTCTTGTTTACCCAATGGACAAGGTCAATAGTGCCACAAGGCAAGGTGATCTCAAAACTCCATGAATAACCAAAGTTTTAGTATTTGATGTAAGTTTTACCTTTTTTTTTTTAAACCTAGAGGAATACTTTTCAGGAAAATCTTAACATCAGAAAGCATTGTTCTAGGGTGACATTGGCTATCCAGTGAAACTACTTACAGAAAGATGGAGGTAAGACGTGGCTTACTGCTTTTACTTTGCCCAATGCCATCCTAGGACACCAAAGACAACAAATCTTGGGGCCAATGATCATATCTTATGTAAATAGTAGCCATAAAAGTTAAAATATTATTGCCTATCAATCCTTTGCCAAATCTAGTACAAGATGCACTCATAGAGGCCAGTACTTGTTCAAATGAGGAAATGAAATAAAACACCTAGTAAAGTCCCAGTCCCGGTAATAGGGAACAGAGGAGCCCCCCCCACCCCCTGTCTGTCTCTAGAACCATACCCACTCACATGGTACTAACCAAGAGTTCAGATGGGAAGACTGTGCTGCCCCGCAGTGCCAGAAACAGTGGCAGTCAAGTCTACCATGGAGAGCAAGACTGGAAAGTCATCACAGTGACTCAAGGGAGTGAGGACTGCTCAAGAGCATCCGGACAGGAAAGCCAGGCCAGCTGTCAAGGAGTCTTGACTTCACACTTCCTGGTGTCAAGGGGTCGGTTACCTGTCTCCATCGGGATGTTCTCCTCATCTTTCTTCTCCTCAGCTTTGTTCACCACTTGCTCTTCCTCAGGGGCGATGTTGCCCTGACTGCGCTCCGCTTGCTCTGCTGCCTCCTTCTCTCTCTCCTCCTGCCTTTTTCGGGCCTGTTCCTCCGCCTGTGCAATTTCAGCTGCAATTTTCTCCATGTCTACTTCTACCTTCAGACCACATAACTAGTTATCAAAACAAAAAACAAAAAAAAACAAAAAAAACAAAAACACCCAAAAATCAAACAAACAAAACAATTAGCAATGCTTTCTTCCTATAACCTTGGAATCAAATAAATTGTCTCCTGGTGTACATAATGGTATTTACATGATGGGAAAAAAAACAAAGCAATGTTTTGTCCTGAAACTATACAGGACAAAGAAAGGTGCTCTAAGAGCTATCAGCCACTGAAGGGGCAGGGGCTGCTGGGCACTGTCCCAGAACTGGGGAGCCTTAGGATTTCCCCACTCATACCTCAGCTACCAAACACATGATTTACTTATTTATTTTTTTGTTTTGTTTTGTTTTCTTGAGATAGGGTCTCCTACATAGCTCTGGAGCTCACTGTATAGACCAGGCTACTTCTGCCTGGTGTGAAGATTTACTTGTTTTGATATAAAATGCAACATCTAATGAAGGCATCTATGAATAAATTACAATAAAGTGAAAACAACATTCACAACTACAAAGATTTTAAACAAAACATCAGAGAGCTCTATCACCCTCTATACATATAAGGCCTTGTCCTTACATGTATACCACAGGAAAGTGAAAATTCAGTGTAATTCTTCCAGAAACTCGGAATGATTTTATAAAGATAGTACTAGCTGTGCTGTGATGTCAGCACTGTTTCACAGTGACCAACACTCAATAGAAACATTATTTTAAGGAAAAGCAACAGGCGTAGGACAAATGAATAGAATGTACCCTTTTAAGTTCATTGTTAAAGGAGTCTGTGCTTTCCAGGAATTTCCTCTTCTTCTCCTGGTGTCGCTCCTCTATCTGAAGAAGCTCAGCTTCCAGTTTCCGCTGTAAGGTGTCAGACCAGAGTATGCACAGTAATAAAGCAGATGCAAAATACAGAAGTATGCCATTTTTAAATAGTTCAGACTTTCAAGTATAATTCTGCATTTTTAATTATGTATACATGTGTGTGGGGATGTACACCAGTACAGGTGCCCATGAAGGCCAGAAGAGGGTGTCAGATGTCCTGGAGCTGGAATTAACCTCACAGGGGTGCTAGGAACTGAATCCAGGTCCTCTTGAAGGGCAGAACATGCTCAACCACCAAACCACCTCTCTAGGCCACTAGTTTTGCCATCTAGTATAAAATCTAGCTATTATTTTAAAAATGTAACATAGGGGAATGACTGATTAGTAAGATGTTAATGAGTAAATTCTTTGTGAAAAACATTTTATAGTACTGCAGCAAAGGCTGATGGGGTATCCCCAAACTGTTCAGTTTGCATCCGTCTCTTAATAGATATACTTGCACTATAACGTTCTATCTCAGTTTTCAATGACAAACTTCCTAAGCTCCAGGAATGGTCCCTCCCTTCAGCCCGTCTCAAAGCAGGCACAGGCAACACCACTTCCCAGTCTGCTTACGATTGTGGCAGAGCCACATCCCTTGGATGTGTGGTGCAGACTTCTAGTATAATGAATGTTTTCTGGCCTTACCTGATGAACCATTAAAGACTGGACCTGTCGCTTGAGGACCTGCATTCTAGCTGTTGTTACGACTGACCGCACATCAGGTACCACACTCTCGCTGAGGATCTCACTGATGAGGCGGTGGTTTCTCTGGAAACGGGCAGTAGCTGTATGCTTCATTGAAAAGCCATCATCATAATCTGGAATGAAGGAAATGTTCTGGAAATTAGGTGGCTAGTGTAGTAAGCAGAACAATGTTAACAAGCAATTGCCTACTAAGGGTGGCCCGCAGTGTCCTGGCAGGTGGGCTTGCCCAGCATCAGGGCCATCTGGGCAGGCCACAGGAAGAACTACACAGAGACACAAGACACAACCCACTCAAGTGTTGTTCCCATAAAGCTACTAAGGCAGTGGTCCCAACCTGTGGGTCTTGAACTCTTTGTGGTCAAAAGACCCTTTCACAGGGTTGCATGTCAGACATTTACATTATGATTCATAACATAGCAAAATCACAGTTACAAAGTAGACACAAAAATAATTTTATGGTTGGGTCACCACAACATAAGGAACTCTATTAACGCGTCACAGCATCAGGAAGGTTGAGAACCACCGTATGTTTGAGATTTGGTTAAAACACAACAAATGTCTTTTAGCCCTGGGATCCACGTAGAGCCTGCATGTGATGGCAGTACTTGAAATTCTGCCGAAAGTTCCATTCTCCTGATACTCATCGAAGGCATTTGGTAAATGCGGGACTATCACTGGGACATGTCTTTATTACAGTTGTTAAAATTAATGAAAATGTTCATTTGGAAAATTATCAGCATTTTCTTTAGCTAAATTTAGTTTTCTAGGTAGTATTTATGTTTTATCACATCAAAAACTGGTAAAGATCCAAACTAATCTTTTAGAAAAAGACAAAAACAAACAAACAAACAAACAAACAAAACAAACAAAAAACCCCCCCAAAACAGCTTGATTTCATGGCTGGGCGATGGTTTGCTTGGTAGCTTTTGCCAGGCAAGCATAAGAATCTCCATTTGGATCCCAGCCAGCATCTAGGTAAAACTAGGCGGGGCAGATTCTGGAGGCTCAATGGGCATGCTAGCTAAAATAGCAAGCTCTAGGTTCAGAGAGAGACTCTTGTCTCAAAATAAGGCATAGAAGCAATTCAGTATGCCATCTGGACGTCAAGCCCGACTTCCACACGTGCCGCAACACGGAAGTAGGAGTGCATACACCATGTGCAACCATATCACAAAAGGCGGAGCTTGAGGAAAATACTCAATGTCGATACACACAATCACATATACGACACACACAGACACACCACTCTAAATTTGTTTGTTTCTCTGTTTGTTAGAGACAGGGTTTCTCTGCCTTGACTGTCCTGGAACTTGCTCTGTAGACCAGGCTGGCCTCAGACTCATAGAGATCCGCCTGTCTCTACCTCCCAAGAGCTGTTATTAAAGGCATGCAACTCTACTGGCCAACCTAAATTTATTTAAAAAATTTTCATTTATGCATGTACATAGCTTTATTAATGTGTAAAGGTGACACCCAAACTTAGGTACATATAGCATACATGTGGCTTACATGTTTTGTTTTATGGTGGAGGCTGTGTTATTTTTGGTGTGTGAGATGCATGCATATGGTCTGCAGGTATGCACACAAGTACATATACACGTGGAGACCAGAGGAGGATGATGAGCATCTTCCTGTCTCTTTTTGCTCATCCCTTGAGGACAGACCTCTCACTAAAATGGAAGCTCACCATTTTGGCTCAGCTAGCTACTATCAGGCGACCAGAATTGCTTGTTTCAGCTTCCCAATGCTGGAGTTTTGGGTATGTGCTAGCCACGCTTGGATTTTTGCATGGGCGCTGGAGATCTGAACTTAAGTCCTTGTGCTTTCACAGCAAGAGCTCTTACCTACCCAGCCATCTGAGCTCCAAGGTGTGTGATTTTTTTTTTTTTGAAACAAAATTTCACTATGTAGCTCAGGCAGGCTTAGAACTCACAGCAGCCTTCCTGCCTTAGTCTCTCAAGTGCTAAGACAATAGTGTGTACAAGCATTCGCTTATTTCTAGTAGCACAAGAGTGCTTCCTTTCTCTTTCTCTACCACCTTCACATACCTGGTAGCAATCTGTATTAGTATCTACCTAACAGTTTCCTTTACATTAACTCATTAAACGGAGTTAAACGGAGCAAGTTTTCCTCCACTTTAGATGAAAACAAAGTGCGCCTCATCCTTCGTGTCTCACAGGCGTGCAGGGCCTATGTTTCAGAGGCCTGCTGCTGTACATGGTGGGCTCTGAAGAGTCTTGTGTGGAATCTTGTGTGGATCAAGGACAGGACCCTCTAAGAAGTCCCTGGATGCCGTCCTCATGGAGGCAGAGCCCATCTCTTGGTTTCTGTATAATTCTCCCTCTCAACCAGAGTAGTGGTTCTCAACCAGTGGTGTGTGCTCCTGTGTGTGGGTGAAATGACCTTTTCACAGAGGTTGCATACCCGATATCCTGCATAGCAGGTGTTTATATCACAATTCAGAACAGTAGCAAAGTTAGAGTTATGAAGGAACAAAGAAAATAATCTTACAGTTGGGGTCACCACAACACGAGGAACTGTTATCAAAGGGTTGCAGCATTAGAAAAAGTTGAAAACCACTTATCCTAGAGGATATTATTCTATCACTACAGATTCTCTTTTTTTTGGCTTTTCAAGACAGGGTTTCTCTGTGTTGCCTTGGCTGTCCTGGACTCACTTTGTAGACTAGCCTGGCTTTGAACTCAACAGAGATCCACCTGCCTCTGCCTCCCTGAGTGCTGAGATTACAGGCGTGCACCACTATGCCCGGCTTATAGCTTCTTAATTACTATATTCCGTGTTAATATAAGAGCCTCTCACTGCTACTATATTTTGTTTAGGAAAATTTTCATTTTCTATATATGGCTTCTACATTGCTAACCTTTGTTTATACTGTATAGATCTTCATTCTTCCAGTTATTTGTAGACTTGAGCTATTGTTTTAGTCATGATTTTCTTACATCAATCTATATGCCTTTAACACTCAATTTCTGTTTCTAGTCCACATGTTATTATATTCTATTGCATTAATGAGAACTTTTGCTAGTAACTCCAATGGATCCTTTTGAAGCTCATCCCTGATTCTGCCTCCTATTTAGCTAAATTTATTCACTTTCTCCTCCTCTACTGTTATCACTCTGAAGTTCTTAAGAACTTTCTCTGGTATTTTCAAAAGTGGGATCTTAAATTACAATCTTAGTATTTTGGTGGCTGGTAGTTACTGCTTCTAATCTTGTCCACAGTGTAGCAGACACAGAGAAAATAAACACAGCATGCTCTGCATGTCTGAGGTCCAGGACAGCAATCTGCACATGGAATCCTTAACTAGGAAGGTTGGCCATCTGTGGGGATGTGTGAAGGGCAATGGTGAATGATTGCATGAGTGTTATTCTCCAATTTATATTGGATTTTAAAATTTTATAAGTTTTTATAAGACTTCCACACACTCATTAATTTTTGCTTCTAAGAGCCTTTAATTCAGAAAATTTAGGCAACCAGTAAGATTGGATGAGGCAATTAAGAACATGTACAGTTAGAGGACCAGAGTTCAGTTCTCAGAACCCATCCTCCTGTAACTCCAGCGCCAGAGGATCTGACACCCTCTTCTGGCCTCCTCAGGCACTGCACCCACATGTACAAACCTATAGGCTTGCTACACACATAATTAAAAAAAAAAAAAAAAAAAAAAAAAAAAAAAAAAAAAAAAAAAAAAAAGACTGGCTGTAACTGGAAGGTAAAAGAAGCCAGGTGTGGTAGCCCACACCTTTAATCCCACACATGAGGCCGAGGCAGGCAGATCTCTGTAAGTTCACCACCAGCTTGGGATGCATGCTGAGCTCCTGGTCCCCAGCACTATGTAGATAGATATTCTGTCTAAAAACCAAAACCAAAAACCAAGTACCAACCAACCAACCAACAAGAAGTTAAAAGGAAAACAAAAACAAAAACAACCAAAAAACCTAATTGTGATAATAAAAGAAAAGAGAAGAAAAAAAGAAACAATACATCATCATACCAGGTTAGGGTATGTCAGCAAAAATCTGTAACCCCCACATTTGGAAGCTGAGACTGGAGAATCAGTTCAAGGTAAATCTGGGCAACACAGTGAGATCATGTCTTGAAAACCAAACAAATCTTTTATTCTGAGTACAAAGACTTTGAAAAGTAGTAACTACAGCTTTATTTCCACACTGTAAAGGGTATTTTTTTTCCATGGGAAAGCCACACAAAAAAATCTTATCGTTGAGAAGACTTAAAATTATGCTTTCCCACTTAAAAGAATAAAAACCTCGAATTAGGATTTACCTTCTGTGTTAATTCAGAGAGAATGCATACCCAAAGGCCCACTTTCCTCTTACCATCTGGATCCTCAGCAGGCTGAATGCTCATGTAAGGCTCTCCTTTCTCCATGCGAGACTGCCTCTGTCGACTTTCTTCCTCTAATGCTGCTTCTGCACGACTTTTTGCATTAATATATGCAAGGTATGCAGGGGAGTTATGATAGGCCTTCATAGATTCATTGTACTCTATCTGAAATTCAAAGGGTGTTGGTTTTAGAACATGAATTCTACAGGCTACCATGTGCCTGCACCATCCATCTGAACATCAGAGGGTTGAGGTAAACAAGCAAGGCAGTCCTCCTACCTTTTCTGCTTCGTATTCGTTTAAATATTCTTGTTTTTCTTCATCAGTGAGATCTCGCCACATGCCACCAATAATCTTGCCAATCTCCCACAACTTTAGGTCAGGGTTGGAAGCCTTTACTTGGTCCCAGACCTTAAGAAGTCAACAGTTGAAAATTCAATATTAATGACTAAGTATAGTCATTTAAAAATACTCTAATATGGAAACTTTTAAACACAAACAAAAGCAGAGAAGACAGCATCAAACTTGCATACACCAATCAGCCTGCTTCAAAACTGCCAACAGCTGGCTCATTTCATCTTTACCCTCTGGATCTCATACACCATGTCATTTCACGCATAAATACTTCAAACTGATTAAGCTAAGAACATCATTGATCACTGTAAACACAGTGAATTAACTGGACAGTTAAGACTGTTTCTAATTGTTCAAGTTATTTTAGAAATACATTTGTATAATACAATGGTATCATACTATCAAACGCATGTACTAATTATCATCAAAATAATATTTTTATTATACTTATTACATTCTCCTTAGTACTTAATATTCGTCTCATGTCTTTCACTATTTAAAAGGTATCACTTTTATGGCTATAGACTAATCTGTTTAAAAAGATTTTAGCAGTTTATTTAACCATGTTCCTTTTGCATCTGAGTTCTGGAATTCTGAAATCAGAACTTAAAAAATTACAAGTTATTTTTTTAAAGATTTATTTATTATTATTATTATTATGTATACAATGTTCTGCCTGCATGTGCCTTCTGCCTTCTGGTGCCTGAATGTCAGAAGAAGGCACCAGACGTCATTATAGATGGTTGTGAACCACCATGTGGTTGCTGGGAACTGAACTCAGGACCTTTGGAAGAGCAGCCAGTGCTCTTAACCTGAGACATCTCTTCAGCCCAAAGTACAAGTTTTTTAGTCCCACCCTCAAATATGTATAAGGAAGATGCCAAGCCAGCCTAAAATCGCATGTGAGGCCAGTAAGTGGAGCTCCCCGGCACCCACCTTTCTGCTGTACCTCATGTAGGGCATCAGCGGCTTATCTGGTGGCTTTGGAGGCTTTGGAATCGTAATGCCAGAGGATGCCTGTAAAAGAGTAAAATACATTAATTATTCAATTGCAAGGAGGTCATGACCACCTGAAAAGAAAGTCCCTTAAAAATTCTAATGCGCCTTTCTTCTACTCGTCCATGGATACAAGATTCTTATATTTTCTCCAAAGAAAATAGATATCACTGCAAATTTAGAAATGTTTATATCAAAAGAAAATGACTTTAAACACATAATATTTAATGTTTTACTTAGCAGTTTATTGCCACTGTTTTGACAATCTGGCTGCAAGAATAAAATATTATACAATAATCCATACACTGAAAAAAAATATTTGCCAATATGAAAATAGAAAAAAGAGTAAATGCCTCACATTTAGGACATTACCTGGTATCCTTTTATTTTGCTCAGTTACCATTATGCATACAGTCAACACTAGATTATCTATTCACTCTGAACACTTAGCACTTACCATACACACACTGTCTACAGGGGATCTTGTTATCGTTAAAGAAATGTACCTCCATACAAACAACACAGAGACTACTTCCCAGGTTAAAAAAAAATATCACCAATAGGAAACAGGAAATAATTAGAAATCTAGCTAGCTAGCTAGCTAAGTAAATAAATAAATAATTTCATTTAGAAATACTTATTTTTCTTAAGGTTTCACATTATCTTATAGTTTTCTGTTTTACATCTTTGTAGTTCTGGGGCAGTGGCTTTCTTACAGGGGATCAAGGTATGCAAATAGAAGTCATACTTTCGTCTTAGTCAGATCACCAGAGACATAAAGAAGCATCTTGGGAACTGAGCACCAGCAGATTCTGGGTCTTGTGTATGTTACATTTGAGGCCCATTCCTTAACATTGCTTTTGTGGAAAAGAAACCAGGACAAGGAAATGCAAGACACACAGAAAAAGAATAATACAAGAAGAAGGACTATAATTTTTCAAAAAGGTATTGAGGAAGCTGGTGAGAGGAAAAAGTAAAAGGGGAGAAATAAGAGTGTTAGGTACTGGTCCTGTCTCTGTGAGGAGACACAGGCGACAGCAGGCAGATGCCCCATACAGAGCTGCTGTTCCAAGGGCACCTGGTTCTTAACTTTTCTGTCTCCTCTTTATATCATCACTGCTCTGATGAAGGAGCCAAAATAAGTATCACTTGTCTCTGACATCACTGGGGACCCTGATCCTGACCCTCTTTGCCAGAATGGGCAAGAGGACAGCTTGTTTTACTTTAATTTCAAAACACACACTGGCAAATCCTTGCTGCTATGACCCACAGACAGATTTGGTCTTAGACAGCACTGGGCCATGGAATGAAATGAGACATGGGGGCCGGAACTGTCAGTGTGAGAGTAGCCACTCAGGGAAGCAGGCACCTCGGTTTGCAGGAGTCCTAAGAAGAAGGCAGAGTTATGGCTAACTGTTATGTTAGAAAGCTGCTTCTCAACACAGGAAGTGATTAGAAAACATTTTCAACCCAGACCCTATACAAACTTTTGGAACACAAAGTTGGTTATAAAAAACAAAAACAAAAACAAACAAACAAACAACCCCCCCCAAAGTTTAGTAATATTTGCTCTTATTTTCCAAAGCATCACATTTTAGAACATTAACAGATTTGCTAATTTACCCCCTTTCTCAAAGTACCAAATATTACTGATTTCATATTATTATACTGTCAGCTTACCAAAACAAACAAACAAACAAAACCAAAACAACAACACAAAACAATGCTCCCCCATTTCCTAAGAATAATAAAGTTAAATTCTAGTTGGTTTGGGGATCCTAAGAAATTTTATCGTCATACACCACCATCTTTCTAAATGTTCCAAACACTTCTCTACTCTGCACTAAGCACACTTTATTTATTCCTTTGTGTGCTCCTGAGTATGAAAGACTGACATCGTCTTTTTCCCTGAGTGGCCCAAGGGCATGGTTTTGGAGTAGTCCACTTTGCTGTGTCGATGGGATCTTTCTGTGTTGTTATCAGGAAACCTACCTGTAGCTCCAATTCTCCATCCTTTCAATTTCTGTCTTCCCATTTGCAATGAATTGGAGGTGGGGAAGCAAATACTATGCTTGTTAAAAGTGTTCTAACCTAAGAGTTAGATCTGTGGGTAAAGTCCATGACTTTGTGACCAATTCATCTTGGCTAGCACAAAAGGTTTCTTTCTCAATTCTTGGCTGTTTCTCTTGTAAGGTCTTATTTAAGGATTTTCTTTTGGAGAGAGGATTTCCACTAGCAAGAAGTAGGCTGCTTTTAACATTTTGTCTCAATCTGTTTAGGAACCTATGTTTTAGAGAATGTGAACTATCATCTGACAAAGCCATCAGGCATGGGCTGCACTCACAGCTGTCTTGAGTCCTCCAAAGCTCTCAATCTGGCACCTAAGTGTGTTATCTGAAAACTACCCACATGGAACAAAGCTCTTGCTTTGTTTCACAGAATGATTCTGCCAAATCAGTATGGCTATTTATGGACAACAATTTACTCATGAGGAGCATTCCCCACAAAGTAGTGCATCTGGGGTCATTCTGTACAAACACTTTCTATGAGCAACGGAGTCCCAAAACAGCAAGTCAGGGAGGGATAAAAGAGAATGCAAGCCCTGGGGCTTTTGGCAATCTGATCACAAATCAGTCTGGTGGTAATAGGACAAAAGAACAATAATACAAGGGAACGACTACAAAGAACAAAACACCAGACTTCTCACTCCTGACCTCTTCCCTACACTGACAGCTAGAGCTCACTCCTAATTCTGAGTTCTTCTGTTCCCCAGGAGGGAAAGGGTTGAAAATAGATAAGCAGCATAGGCCCAGACAAGGTGCACTCTCCTGTTTCTAGTGGGGTCTTCACCGAGTGACTTTACTTTGTATTAGCTGAGAAGCCTCCCTGCCATGAACAAATGAAGAACTGGCTGTTTATACAAACCCCAAACCAAATCACTCTAGGATCACAGTGACTACTCCTGTTCCACCAGCCTGGCCACGAGAGCTCACTGTGTGGAGCTATTCAGAACCACCATCCTTATGCACTACCCATAAATACATTTCTGAATTACCACAAATGACCTGAAATGAATTCTTCTTTCTGTGCGAACCATAATGTTCTTTATCACCTGATAGTCTTGCCACTCATTACACTTGGGAAACAACACATTTAGGCCAGAGGAAAACATGTGCTGCTGCACACAGAAACTATGTGCATCTCACAATGCACACATAAACATATTCTGTCAGAATCCTTTTTAGATACTGTGAAATACTTATGGCACATAGAACTTGATATGCTTATGAAGTACAAATTATGCAGAAATGATGAAAAATTTAGACAAACAAAACCTATCAAGCTAAGCAATATGCTTACCAAGATAGACACACAGTTTGATAGTGACGAGTTTTTAGCTATAACTTTACTACAGGGTGAGAGGGTTTTGTTTTTTTAAGTTACATTTTTTTTTTAAATGAACACAGCAAATGAAAACCAAATACTGAAAAGTTTACAGCCATTCTGTTACATATATATTCTCACCAACACCATATTCTAATGGAGGTATTTGACTTTTGGATTTATTACCTTATTTCCTTGGAATTTACAATAATTTACAAAATAAAAACTTTGAAGTATATCATCCAATTTTGATTATCTTAGTTAAATCACTGAAATGAAGCATCCCAAGTTTTAAGAGTCATCCGTCTACTGGATTGGAATGGGACCTCTAGTTGTACTTAATCTGATACCTAGAATTAATGGCATTCAAATTTTATTCTGAAATTCCTTGAAGTGACAGTCAAATCTTTTTCTGTATTAAGCTGGAAAGAAATGAGTCTCAGATATGTCAATAACTAAATCCAAAAGACAAATAACTAGGTGTCAAAGTGTGGACAGGCAGGTCTGCCAAAGGCGTTCCAGTGCAGACAGAGCCAGGCTCCAGAGTCCTAGCGTGTCTTAAGAAACTACATCCTAGAGAATAATGCCAATTACCTTAAACAATGAAAGACACCCTTCAGGTCATAAAATATTTTAACCAAAAGAATTCTAGATTTGTTTACACATATGGTATGAGCATTAAGTGTCCAAGGTTTTATCCCTTCTGATCACTAAACAGAATGGATTTCTTTTCTTCCAGGTATATATCCAGACTGCACTTTTTTTTTTTTTTTTTTTTCAGTGTAAGACTGTACAAAATAGCTGAAAAGTCAGGTTAAAATTTTTAAATGGCTGTGCTTCTGATTCAAAAGAACCTAATTCTGGAGGCATTTCTGGTCAATTCCAGTTGTTTGCCGGAGGCTGTAATAGTTGATTCTCCTACCGTGACCCGGCTGTTGGTGCCCGGGTTCCCTCCCAGCCTGTAGTTGTTGTAGGCGAGATGACTGTATGGATTGTATCCCACAAACCCTGGTGTGCTGGGCATTTGCTGATGGAAACAAATGAGACAAAAACACGAATGAGAAATGAGCTCAAACGAGGAAAACACAGAAATGAAAAATGATCTGCATATGGCATGCAAAAGCAACCTGAATTTAAACAAGCAATGATGTGTTGTATTGTTCTTTTTGTTGTTCTTGTTGAGGAAATTGTTTTTTTTTTTTTTTCCCCATTGAGAAAACCAGCCTGCAAGTGTGCATGTGCATGTGTGTGTGCATGTTTCTTCTCTTTCCCTTGGGAGGGGTTAGGGATGCTTGTGAGACTGAGCATGTTTTGTTCTGAGGAAAGCACCACACTGCAAACATCTGCAACTATTTCATGGTCAACAGTATGAGCTAACAATTTAGCCATCTGGGATGTCAGAGATAGGAAAGCTTCAAGTATGATAATCTTTAAGTCTGAAAACACTACATGCAAACGAAACATGATTTATTTGACATTTATGTGGATGCCACCAATGCACTCATTTACTAAGAACAAAAACAAGAAATGGATCTGCTTTTCAAAGACAACTTTAAATAATTTTATATGTGACAAATGAGAATAGACTCAAATCAGGAAGCCAGGAACTGTTAACAGGAAAGAACATGTGCTGGATTCAATGGATGCCACATGCATGATTTCAAAACAAGGACTTGTAAGAAATGCATAGATCTCATACTGGGGTACTATCTGATCTTTAACTCAGTCATTCTTTCATAGGCTTTTTCTTCCATCTCTTCTTTGATCCATCTTCCATAGGTAACCATGAACAGTTTATGCATTTAATTTTAATGGGAGCTACATTTTCTTTGACAGACTTGAACTTTCTTTTTCATCTGATTTCCTGAAGTCTCTCAGCTTTTCCAAATACAATTGCTCACTGCAGCAACAAAATTCTTGATTTTTGTGAATTATGTGTTGATATAATCACAAATGGGTTCTTATATAATTGTGGCCTTGTGGTTAATACAATGACATCCAATGTTCATAAAATAAAGGCATAATGCATAAAAAGAATGTAGTAGAGACCAATAGTGTAGATAACTTAGTGAAACTCAATCATAACAAGTGATAGCAATGCCATTTTACATGCAATTAACATAGCGCTCCTGAATTATACAAAAAGTATATATACCTGACACATCCCCACTAAACTTTACTGTCACCAAATAAATGCCAGCTCATAACACATGCCCTTGTATATACCCTTAGTACATTCAAGCAGGCAGCACACGGGGTACTTTTTAGAGGGAAACAAAATGATCAATTGATAGCCCATAGAGTTAGAGAAGGCGCAAATTAAGCATATTTAAGTAGCAAAACACAGATGAGACAGTAAAGGCACAAAAGAAGGGCCTGTTCCAGGTGGAGTGCTCACTGGAGTGGTGGCAGTGGGAGGGTGGGTGGTGGTGATGCGGTAAAAACAATGGAATTAAAGAAAAAGAGAGAGACTAGCTCATTGAGCATCTGCTAGATGTTATAATCCCTAGTTTCTGGATTCTGTGTGTAAATGTGATGAGGACTAAAAAGAAAATCCCTTTCTTTGCATGAAAACTCAGAAGAGGATTTTGGTTTTAAAAATATCTTTATTTAAAAAAATAATAGCAAGTTTGCTTACTATACACTCCTGGAGGTAGTATTTATAACAGTGATACCTCCAAACACTGCAAAAACAATGATTCATAGGTTCCATATGAAGTAATAATGTAAGCAAATAGGGGAATTAAAAAAAAAAAATCAAGCTAGCATATTGTAATTATACCATTTCTGAAGTTGAGGGGCCTCATTACATCTTTGAGGTGAGACTCTTAATTGCTCAACTCAACCTGCACACAACCATGAGCATAATGCGATGGAGATGGTGGTAAAGAAATGTTCTTTAAGAAAGAAAAATAATGAAGCACAAGACTTTACAGTCTGTGGGAGGCAACTTCACAGACTGTGTTACATGAAGTGAGTTTAAGGATGTATGACACGCTTTTTAAAAAGAGCATCTAAGGAAAAACAAACTGTTGATAAATGTAACTACAGCATTCACCTACAGGTTAGTATAGCAGACTAGTCACCTAATGGAGAAAACAAAATGACACAGGAACTCATTAGTAATAAAGTAGACTAGCCTGAAATTAGTTGGTAGAGGGTATGGAAGGAAGAGCTAGCAGATATTAAAGAATTAATTTTGGGCTGGGCATGCTGATAATCCCAGCATTTGGAAGGCCGAGGCAGAAGGAGCACCATTTCGAAGCCAGCCTGGGCTACATAGAGACCCTGTCTCAAAACAAAACAAAACAAAATAAATAAAAATATTCCTGATTCGATTCTGATTTTGTAGGATATGGTTATGTTAAGTGATTTTTTTTTTTGTTTTTTTTTTTTTTTGTTGTTGTTTTTTTTTTTTTTGGCTGTTGTTGCTGTTTTTAAAACAGTAAGAAAGCCATCTCAGCATTTCAACAAGGGCTTCTACAGTTGCTGTTAAATCTGAACTGTGAATTGGATAATTATTTTACATGCTGATCAACCTGGGCTAGAGCTTGCTGGGTGAAAACAGTTCACAACCATTAGACACTCTGAAACAGATCAGTTGGCAAACCATTATAATTTATGGAGAAGAACAAAATTTGGTAGCAAGATCTGACCCACGGGTAATGAGACCCTTACTTGAGCAGCTTGAAAATAAGATTTATGATAAGTATAGTTAGCCTCAGAACTAGAAACTTTATTTAATGTGAAAATTTTATATACAGACAAGAAGGTTTAATTAAAAAAATTGTGTTGTTGTGGTTCCTAGGACCTTGCACATGCTAGGCAGGAGCTCTCCCACTGAGTGTAAATCCCTAGCCCTTACAGGGAGAGAAAAAGGGAACCAGCTGAAGGTTAGGTTTAAAAGCAACAAAAAAAATACATAATGCCAGAATGAGCATTAACTCAGTATCAACCTAAAGACTCTTTAACAGGGAAAACTAAAAAGAAAGAAGTGTTTCACTTATTTCCCATTAGGAAAAAAACAGAGCACAGGAGGTTGGAAGCTCATAGCATGTATTTTTAAGTGTTGGGTTTGGTTCAAGGCAGGATGAAAAGAATTATTCTATTTAGTAGGAAGTGCTGAATTTTAGCTGAATTTTCTATCCTGTGGCTGTGATGACTGAGTGACTGTTACTGGAAGACATCTGGGTTTTTGTATCAAGGCCAGACTTGGCTATTACATTAACAAGAAAATTAAAACTTACTGTTGCAGGAGCTGGGGTGGGAGGTGGGGCATAAGATGGTCTTTCTGTTTGAAAGAAAATAAATAACTTCTTGTAAACAACTGAGATATAATACTATGCAACAAAACTACCAATGGTCCTGTTTTGAAGAAAAAAAAAATGAGAGTATTTTGGAATTCCCATTTGCTAGGGCATTAGTCTCGTATTAACACAGATTGATAAATATAAAAATTGAAACTTACTTGACATTTTGGAAGATTAAGTTCTCAGTTCCTTAAGAATGAATCTGAGACACTAAAATAAAAAAAAAGAAAAAAAAGAAAAAAAAAGAGAATCAAAACTCAGCAAGCATAAGAGAATGTTTTCCTAAAGAATAGGGTAGTTTGGTATTTCTGAGCAAAATTACTTCACTGTTAATTGCTAATAATCAAGCCTTTTGCATTTTTTAAACTAGTTCTTGTCATTTGATTGATCAGAATTAAATGATGAAAATAAATTACTGGGAAATTTAGAGTTGTATTAGAGATGGATTATTAGGTTTTTGCTTATGATATTGAGCCACGTCTTGTATGGAAAACATTTTGCTGATGCCATGCAAACGTTTACTTAGACTGATAAAAAAAAATAATGACAATAGAATGTGATGTATTATCAGGGTGACCCCAACAAGGCCTACCAGATGCTGACAAATAACCCCTGATCAGAAGCTCTGCCTTACTTAGGAGACATCTTTTACTGAAACAGAGCAATGACTTGTTCCTGGAGGCAGTTTGGAAGATAACTCGGTATGATAACAAACTTTACAATCTCTTTTATTGGTAAATAGTTTCATAAGTGCTGGAACAGATTTCAGAGTCTACTTTGATGATTCTTATTGGTCCTTTACAGCCCATTTCAGAAATTATCTCACGTGCTTTCTTGATAAATTAACCGGGCAGAATTAAATGCACCGTCTCTGTATTCCTATATGGTTTACAAAGATCAATGGCATTTTTCCTCACACAACATGCCAATATGGCTAGGTTTTGTCTTGCAGGAGAGGTCTAATTTATTACTGTCTCCTTTATTATTAAGGTCTCCTTGCAGGAGAGGTCTAATTTATTACTGTTATTGCTCAAACGTTAACTCAATTCTTCATAAATTTGGTCCTAGTATTACCAGCTCACAGCATGGACAGATGTGAGCTCGCTCCTTACTCAACACACACCACGTTCGGTATGTATAAAGGGATGAAAATTTAATTTTAGAAAGAAGGCGAATAAATTATGACTCTTGGAGTACTTTCATCCAACATTATGTAAAACACACATTTTCCTTCCCTCAACACCCAGTAGGCCTTGCCGTGGGGGGCCCCCCCGACACAAACCTTAACAACGTCCCTGGTCCCTTACACCTCACTGCCAATACTTACAAGTGACTGCTCCCCTGTGCTAAGAGTGTAAGAACAGTGGATCTAACCACAGTGCCTGGCATGGAACTCAGTTTACCTCACGGGTCAGGCTTATATACAGTCTCGCTCGCACTAGGCACAACGACCCTCACCAGACACGTACGGCTGGTCCCCATTTTACAAACGAAGAAACAGTCGCAGGGCAATTAAGGTAAGCTTCTAAAGCCATAGGCCCAGAACCGCCAGAGGTGGGTTTAAACCCAACCCACACCGACTCAAGAGTTCACGCCTCACTCCAGGCCACCCCGGGGAGTCCGATCCGGGTCGCTGCCTGGACCAGAAGGGGAAGCCACCTTCCCGGTGGGTGAGGACCTCCCCGCTGGCCTTGCCCGGAGGGCTCCCCGAGGTCCTCTGAGTGTTGTTTTTTTGGTCTTTTTTTTTTTTTTTTGGCGGAGGGTGAGCATTCCCGGCAACTCCCCTGCGGGGGGTTTAGGCACCGGTGCTCGGCCAGCTTCGGGAGTCGAGCCGTACAGGGACCAGGAGCACCTCCGAGGAGGAGCTGTCCCGGATGGGGCTCCCTCGAGACCCCGCCGCCGCTAGGCCTCACGGAGGCCGCCCCGGGCCCCAGCTCCCGCCTGGCAGCCGAGCCGGAACCCCAGCACCCCGCGGGAACTCGGGGTCCCGCCGGGCCGAAACCCCGCAGCTCGCCACCCTCCCCGAGCCGGTCGGGCCCACTTGGAGACACTCACCCGCGGGCCGAGCAGGCGCCCGCAGCTCCGGCTTCGCTTCCCTTTGTCCCGCGCTCGCCCCGCCCCTCGCGCCGGAGCTTCCGCGCTCGCACTTTCCACACGGCGCGGGGTTTCTCCGCGGGCCGCGGCCGGCTGCCCTCACACGAACGGCCCTTCCGGCGAGGACGCGGCGAGGCTCGGTGCGGCCAAAGGAAATTATTATTATTTTTTCCTCCCTCCCCGGGCTCCACGGTTTCCTCCGAAGTCTCGCACTCTGGATCCCGTCCCAGTCGGGCGCCGATTCGTCACGGCGAAGGAGGGCGGAGAAGGCCGGGGCCGCGGTTCGGGCCCCCGCTCCGGGGCCAGGCGGCGGGGCCTGGGCGGGGAGCGCGGCGGGGACAACCCCCCGGGCGGGTGGGCGCCGCCGAGTGAGGCCGGAGCCTGGGCGAAGGCCCGCCGGGGCCTCTCCCGGGAGCGGGCGGGACGCGGCTCCCGCGCGCCCCGCTGGTTCCCTTCGCTCCCGGTCGTCCGGGCGCCGCCGCCGCCGCAGGATGGAGGAGAAGGGAGGCGGGGAGGACTCGGGGTCGCCGCCGCGTCGAGGTCCTTCCTGGCGCCCAGCAGGGCTCCCTGCCTCGGCCGCGTCGGCGAAAAGCAACACGGGAGTTTTGTGGGGTTTCCGGGTGCTTCTGGAGGCTGAGTGATGGCGGCGGGTGTCTGAGCCTTGGGGTCCTCAGATGTCAGCTCCCTCCTTCCTGGTCGCCTACCTGTGACAATTCACATCTCTTCCCGGGAGGGCCGGTTGAGCCCAGCCTCGCTTGTCTTCAGAGGGCCAGCTCAGGTGTCTCTTTGTGGTGCCCTCCTGGAACTTTTTCCCAGGCCAATCCTTTCTTTGGCTCTGTGGAGTACCTTGTCTGATAACCTCGGTAGGGACTGGGCCATCTGCAGTCTTGGAAAATCTTGAAAACAAAGGTTCAGACATCTGGACCGGACAGTTTCGTAATTGCCAGTGCCCTCCGAGGGCTAGACTCCTGGTTAGATGTTCAGTTAGCGTGCGTGGAGGCACCTTTCTGGACAATCCCAGAGCTCTAATTACAGGCACTTTGGCGGACCCTATGCAGTATAGAATACCTAGCTAAATATGTGTCCCGGCGGAGGAAAAATGAACAGGCGACCTGTGGTTATCTATTTTAGCCTATAGAGAAACTGAATACAGGGGCTACCCGTTGGCTCTTATCCTGGTTGTGACAACACCAGGATATGAGTTTTCCTTAGAAGTCTTCAGAACCAGGGCTACGTGATATTACTGTCCATTATTTTACTGTCCATATATTACTGTCCAATATTTTCATATGTGTGAGTAGAAGTGAAGGAAATGGAAGAGTGTATTGAAAGGAGAGACAGAATGTTGTTTTCAGATGAATGGGTAGCATGAGGGCATGTCTGAATATTTATTTATTTATTTATTTATTTATTTATTTATTTATTTATTTAACACAAAAAGCATAGAGAGGGTAAATGTAGGATCCACAAAGTTACAGCAGGGGTCCAGTGTCTTCTTACTCAGCCTCTGCCCAGCACCTCCAGCCTTGTTACTCCCTTGCCTTAGCAAGTGAGGGATTACAGAGAGAGGGCAGGAAGCCGGGCCTGGTGGCACACGCCTGTAATCCCAGTACTTGGGGAGGCAGTGGTAGGCGATTGGCCTGGAGTTCGAGGCCAGCCTGAACAACAAAGTGAGACCAGGACAGCCAAGAATATACAGAAAAACTCTATCTCAAAAAACCATTTAAAAAAGAAAGAGAAAGAAAAGGGGTTAGGTGTGTGTGTGTGTCTGCTATAGCATGGCGTCCCCAGCTAGGCAGTTTTCCGAAGAAAAATGGTTTTGAGCATGCTGTGGTGGAAAGGGCTGTGGTGGAAAGGGCTGGCACAAAGGTGGTTTAAACAAAAAGGGATGAGCCAGGCGAGGTGGCGCAAGCCTGAGGCAGGCGGATCTCTGTGAGTTGGAGGCCAGAACACACAAAGAAACCCTGTCTCGAAAAACCAAACGAAAAACAAAAGAGCAAAAACAAAAAAATGTAATAATATTAATAACAATTATTTGAAAAAAAAAACAGATTAAGTTAATAATTGAAAAAAAAACTGAGGGGATGGGATTCTAAGTGGAGCAGTGCTGCAGGCGTTTTTCCTTGTTCTTTTTACTTCTGTGTGGTGCTGGGGATGGGACACGGCGAGCCTGTGAGCTACATCTGCAGTCCTCTCTTGTGGCTTTTGCTCTAAGGGAACTTTAGTAGGCCTTCCGACCGAACATCAAATCTGTTCCTCAACCCTTGGCTTCCTGTTCATGGCCTCTGCTTTATTGTTTTTTTCTATAGCTTATATGTTATATCTGTAGGTATTTCTTTTATTGATTCTTTTTGGCCTCCAGTTGGAATGGGAACTTTTTTGTAATGGGGACGTTTGATATCTTTTTGAAAATCAAGTTTTAAAAGTAAAATATAATTACATAATTTCTCCCTTTCCATTTCTTCCAGCCCCTTCCATGTTCATTTTTCTGCTTCCTCTCAAATGCGTGGCCTCATTTTCTTTGCTTTATCTCTCTGTCTCTTTCTTTTCTCTCTCTCATATATGTACACATATATAATATAACATATAACATGTGTATTACATAACTATATGAACACCACCTGTTCAGTCCATTTAGTGTTACGTCTGTATATGATTTCAGAGCCAGTCATTTGATATTGAATAACCCATTAGGGGGCTCATTTCTGGAGAAGACTCTTCTGTTCTCAGCAACCCTTGGTTGCCTGTAGTTCTCCAGGGGTGGGGATATTTGATATCTTGAACAGTGGATGATCGACTTAGATGCTTATTATCTGTGAAATTAATGGATGTTGCTCTAGTTATCCTCCTTTGGTTCTTCTAGTCTTTAAGATTTTGAAAATGTATAAAGGGTGCTGTCAACTGGCTCAGCTAGTGAAGGTGCCTTCTTTGTAGCTTGACATCTGAGTTCAGTCCTCACGACCCATGTGGTGGAAGGACAGAACCAGTTCCCACAAGTTGCCCTCTGACTTCCATGTGGTCTACATGCACACATACAAGCAGAGTTAAAATAAATGTAGTGACATGCCATATACATGCAGTAGATTTCAAAAAATCATACTTTTAAAATAAGTAATTCATTTTAAACTTTAGCATAAAATTGTTTCTTTTTCTTTAGACATCACTTGTACTTCAAGACTGTCATGACAGAACAGTACAAGCTGGGTAATTTACTTGGAAGGAATAATTTTTTTCCTGAAATAAAATCGCTATTGTACTTTGAACTATTGCTTAATCATTGTCAGCTGTAATTTTCTTCACAAATTCTTTACTCCCAGAGACAGTTTTCATTTAAGTAGAACTGCACAGTTGAGTAGTGCCTTGCCAGATACTTACTGTGCGTATTGTTTCAAGCAACTAAAGGCAGGGAAGGCAGCAATTAGGAGCAGGCACTGCCTTCTCTTTGTCCTCAGGTACGAACTTGAGGCCTCGGGGACACAGAGCAGTCCCTCCTCTCACGTGGCAGAGCCAGGGCGAGGATCCTACCATTGTTAGTAGTTGGAATTACTCTTTACTTTTGTATTTTGTTATGAACTCATACATTTGAAATATTTCCAGGAGATGGAGGAATATCCATTTCTCCTCTCTACGAGAGGGTGGTATGATTTTGTAAAGTTTCCATGAAGGGGCTGCAGGGATGGCTCAGTGGTTCAGAGTAGTGACTGCTCTTCCAGAGGTCCTAAGTTCAATTCCTGGCAACCTCATGGTGGCTCACAACTATCTATACTGGGAACTGATGCCCTCTTCTGGCATGCGGGTGTACATTCAGATAGAATACTCATATACATTAAAAAAAAATTCTGAAGAGAATTTTCATGAAGATTATGAGTGATCAGTGCCTAGACTTCAGTGCCTAGAGTCCTGCAACCACTTTGCAAATAATGCTGTCTACTATTATATTTTCCCGCAACTTACAGGATTTTGTAATTGTGTGTGTGTGAAGGATCTTACTATATACTTCAGGCTGGCTTGGAACTGAAAAATCTTCCTCTCCCCACCTTCCAAGTGCTGGGATTACAGGTGTGCACTGTCAGCACACAGCTAGATTTAAAAAAAATTAAAGTACCAGCGTGCCATTCTTAGTTTACCTTGGGAACCAAGTTAAACCCACCATCTACGGTGACTAGCTTTGCTTGGCTTAACTCTGCGCAGACATCTTTAAAATGAGAAAGCTCAAATACAAGGCAGCCTTAAGAGTTTATGTTTCAATTTTTTTTATTATGGTGGTATCATTTACTCTGGTAAATTTCTTATTCTGATTTTAAAATGCCTCGAAGCAAACAAAACTCATTTACACATTCAAGTACTACATGTTATACACAGAATAGCTCCATAGTGGAATTTCTCTAGCAAGCTGCGAATCCATGATGCCCAGTACTAACACTGCAGGAGATTGCATTAAACGTATCTCTTTACCATAACCATCATTGCATAGTGCACTAACGAGCACAACATCTCATATGATTGCATGTCAAGGCTTTGATAAAGTTGCAGCACTTAATGATGAATGAAACTTCACCTTTTCTCTCCCCCGAGGTCCGAACCCAGTGCCTCCTGTGTGCTAGGTGAAGCTCTGCTACCCTGCCATGCCCCCAGCCCAAAAGAAACATTTTATGTATTAGATGCAATTTTAGGTCAGACGCTTATGCAAAAACGAGCAGTGAACATGCTGTTGTATCCTTGGCGAACAGCATCATCCCTTTTAACCAGAGAGAGTCAGCTAAAAGGAGCCTGAAGGAACGAAAAAAAGTGAATGTTAAGTCCCTGTATTAAGAGTTAATTAATACAAGTTCCTTGAGGCTAAAGCATATTTACTAGTCAACATATATATGTATGTACACGGGGAGAGAGAGGGAGTGAGAGAGAAGGGATGGATGTTGAAGGCTGCATTAAAATGCTAGTATCGCTGTAGCCCTTAGATACTTCAGCTGGAAACAGAGAGGAGTGGTGAACGGTTTGTACTCCTCTTTGTAGTTGTTTAGAGGGGGAAAAAAAAGCCTATAAACGTCTAATGTCTTAAAAGAGGTATTTATTATTTAAGGTCTCCAAGTATATATACCTGCGTTGAACAAATTAAGTTGTTTAAAAAAAACTTTGCAACAGTTCTTCACTTATTCACAAACATGTTTTACATCTGTATTTATTACAGTATGAGCAAGTTAAAAACAAGGTCTGCAGACATTCTTAGCTCGGGTAGCAGCACTGTGCTGTTTGTTCACATACATGGCTGCAAGAACTCTTCTCCTAGCTCACAGAGCATCTTCTCCAAGGCCACACCAAATGCTACTCACACTTCACTTTACAGATGGAAGAGCCGATGATGAGCAGTTGGCTAACTGTCCCAGTAACTAGAATAACCACCTTTTCAATTTGCTTTAAAAGTTTTGTTCGTACAGCTGGTGTGTGTGTGTGTGTGTGTGTGTGTGTGTGTAAGGATACAACTTTTATAGTTCTTTCAACAAACTGACTCTCCAGCAAACTAGATACTTATTATTAAAAAAAAACCTTTAAGGTATAGAATGACATAATTTTATTAATCATCAAATGACCTTGAGGTATGCGCTATACTTCATTCAGAATTGCTCATGGACTGAACACTTCTCAATTCTCAGGGTTGAAATGATTGTCTGAAAAGGAAAAGTCCTAAGTAAATAGTAAGTCCCCTTCTTTAACATCTGTTTTTAACTGCTGCCCTTTTAGAAGCAGAACAAACATTTTAGGTTCAGCTGGTCTGGAACCACAGAACTCACTGTAACTCTTCAGTACCCAAGCAAGCTGTTCTATTTTCCTTATGATGTTCAGACTTTGAGGGAAATGACAAACTTAACCAAGCCACCTTAATAAGTAAAGTCTCCGCTAAAGCTATATTTGGATGATAAATAAAACACAAATCACCTTGGATTTCTGATTTATTTTTAGGCACCCCCCTTGCACAAAAAAAAAAAAAAAGGCTCATCTTTGGAGTCCTAGCAACTTTACCTCTGACTACATGTGTTCTCTGAAGAGAGCTGTAGCCCACAGCATCTTAACGTTATCCATACATATAGAATAACTTACATTCGGGACTGGGGGTCTGCATGGCCCACTTAGGTCCAACCTAGTGTCCTTGATAAATACTATCTCCAGGTTAGTTGGTTACTGGCGGGGGCTTGATGGAGGGAATGCTACATGATCTTCGCATGATAAGCCTGACTTCAATATCTGGTAGATTATCCCGTCTACTTTGTAAAGGCCCCTCATCGGTGGCTGCTAAATGGAGATCAAACCGGAGAGAAACAGACTTTTTCCTCAAGCGAGGGTTGTCTTTAAAGAATGAGCCTTCCCACTCTTTTATGACTTCATCCACTTTCTCTGTCCTGAAATGAGAAAATAAACTTTTTTTTTTTAAATAGAAGAAATAGATGCAATGTACAGTTCATAGTTATGAAAAAGAAATATGTGCAAGGTATAGGTTGTGGGGATTTGTAACAATTTAGATTTATTTTATTTCAGGTGTGCATATATGTAATGTGTACCACCTGCATGCCTGGTGGCCACAGAGGTCAAAAGAAGGCCTCAGATTCCCTGGAAGTGACGCAGTGAATGGTTGAGAGCTGCTATATCCTCTTTACCTCCGAGCCATCTCTCTACCCCCAGGCTGTGGAGTTTCTAATCGACACATACAGGTTTAACAATCATAAGAATATGATCTTTGGAGCTGGAGAGATGGCTCAGAGGTTAAGAGCACAGGCCGCTCTTCCAAAGGTCCTGAGTTCAATTCCCAGCAACCACATGGTGGCTCACAATCATCTATAATGAGATCTGGTGCCCTTTTCTGGCCTGCAGGCAAAATACTGTACAAATAATAAATCTATTAAAAAAAAAAAGAATATGATCTTTAATATAGAATTCTGTGGAATTTCTACACAAGTCTCTTATTTTTATTTATTTATTGAGACAGGGTCTCACTATATAGTCCTGGTTATTCTAGAACTCACTATGTAGACCAGGCTGGCCTTGACTCATCAGATCCACCTGCCTTTTTCTCTGTAGTGCTGGGATTCTACCCAAGTCCTGGTTTTAGTTTTAGGAAAAAAGAAAGTGAGCTCTTTACACACTCTTATGTGTATTGTTATGTGTGTATATTCATGTCGACCTGGAAAGTCACAGTGTATTGAAAGTGTTTGAAGTATCTGTGCCAAGATCGATCAACTGAGGTAAGTTTCATCACATTTGGTATTATTTCATAGTCCAAGCTGTTTTTACTTACTGAACGGTGCCGTGAGCCTCCGCACTCTCCTTCACCGTGTTTCCATTTAGTACCGCCTGTTTGTTCACTGTCTCTGCAGTTTCATTTTCATACTTTTGTGAGACTTTTGTTGAAAAGGATATTTCATTTATAATGGCTGTGAAAACATTACATTAAATTACAATGTTGAAACAAAAAGGAAAACAAAGAACATTTCGGGGCGGGGATTACAACACTGAAGAACTAACATTTCTCCTTTTGCTGTTGCGGAGAAATTTCTGTATCATCTCTACAAGTAGTGTGACCATTTTCAAATTAGTTTGTTGTGTCGGAAACTCACCAGAGGGGAGAAGAAAGCCAACTTTACCCCTGGTAGGTTTTTCTTCTTTTTTTTCTCCTTGGATACAACCGTAATATCTGAAATGGAAAGAGTCATAGAAACAACACTGCAGTAGCAAAACAAACAAATAAACAACACAAACAAAACAAAAAAAGGAAACAGATAAGAGAATGGGTAAGTTGTTATGTTCATACAATGGGAACACTGTTCAGAGTTTACAGTGGTGAGTGAGGGCATGCAGCATCTTTGTCAGTGAATCTCCCAGGCACCAGGAAGAGTGGAGGGATATGAGCTAGTTTTACAAGGGTTAAAATAATACACAGACCAATTTTCTCTTCTGTATAGAGACACATCTATATTACCAAAAGAGCTGGATGAGACTAGTAAATATCAAATTCAGAGGCAGCTAGGGGTGGGAATGTAGTTGTGTGTATGGAGAGTGGGGTGGGGCTTAGATGCCCAGGGAATAAAACAACTTCAAAAACATGTTGCTTCTTAGACTCAAGAGACTAGGAGAAGCATATTAAAAAGTAGGACTTCAAAAGTCATAGGAATACAGTGTATAATACTTAAAAACATTGTTCATCTTATTTTCTGACTTTTGTATAACATTGTTCATTTGTATTTTCTTGCATTTATATCGTAGGTATAATAATACACATTTAGAAAATAAAAATTTTAAAAACCAACTAGTCAACATCTCAAATGATTAGAATTTAACAACTATCATTATTTAATAATATATACACATTGTATATAAAATTATATATTGTTTACATAGTACAATGTGCTAGATAGTATTTTAAGCATCTTACAAATGTTAACTCATTAAATCCTCACAGCAATATTGTGATGTAAACAATATTATTCCCGTTTGTTGATGGGAAGACTGAAGCACAGAGAGATTAAGTAACTTGTCCATGGTCACTCAGCCAGTAAGTGGTATATTTTGAATTCAATTTGTGATTTTTTAAGGATTTAAGAAATAAAGACTTATCAGAGGCTAAACATTTTCCGTCTGGTTTTGCAGAAGACTCAGAATTCTGAAACAAGCAAAAACAAAGATTTATTTTGATGTGCATATAAAAACTTGGAGGTGATGCAGTGTTCAAAGGTCTAAGACCTTATAAATAGTTGTAAAATATAATAGTGAATAGGAATTACCTCGTTAGCACCTTTCTCCTCTTAGGATTACCTGAAGCCTTTAAAATGTGACTCAGAACAGTATTGCTTTCCATGCTCGTATAACAGAATCACATTATTATTATTATTTTCTCACTTTTTGAGACAAGGTCCTCGTAGCCCAGGCTAGCTTCCAACATGTTATGGAGCTGAGGACAGTCTTGAACTCCTGGTCTTCCTGCCTCCACATCCTGAGTGCTGGGATTACAGGCACGCGTGCCCGGGTTATGTGATGCTGGAGAACAAATTCAGGGGTTCATGCATCCTGGGCAAGCCCTCCACTAGCCCAGCCCCTTCCTCCAACTATAGTATTATTCTGTCCGTGTTTACTGTGGGCTGGGGATGGGCCTCAGGGCCAGCTTGTGGTGATAATGTGTGAGTCTCCAAACTTCCTCGGGGGTGATCTATAAAGGGCAAAGACTACTCCTGAAAGGGAGAAACTGAAGAAAGTTGGGGAGGCTGAGAACAGCCACTTGAGTGATGGAGAATTAGTCTGCTGACTACTGTGCTGGCTTTAGCTGGCTGGATACAGGTTTTCGTGCTCTCTGGAGGGTGCGCTAACCCTGCATTACCATAGGCGTTCAGTGAATGGGCTGTGGTGGTGACAGTGGTGGGCCTCATTTGTATTTGATTTCTTGCTGCCATCCACAGTGGCCCTGTGCGTCTGACCCCATGCCACTCTGTGCCATTAGTGACGTGGCCTCAGGTACCTGATCTCTTCCTGCTCTAGCAGACGGCGGTACGTGGCTATCTCCTGCTCCAGCCTCATCTTCGTGTTGAGAAGCATCTCGTGCTCCTGAAGCTGCCTCTCGATGCCATGCCTCACTTCCTGCAGCTCCTTCTCTAGCCTGTCCACCACGGACTCCAGATCCTGCAGCTGGGTCTGGTAGTGCTGCTCACTGGCCTGCAGGGAGTTTTCAAGGCCCCTTTCCTGTAGACAGACACCGTCAGCAGTGAACCAGGGACGCAATGGGCTTCCGAAGACTCGTTTGCAATGCGCTCACCCCTTCTAGTCTACTTATTTACCTCTTGCTTATTTATTTGGTTTTATGACATTAGCAATCAAAGCCAGGACCTTGAACGGGCTAGGCACCGAGTCACACCTGTACCCCCACCTTTTTTTTCCATTTAAAGGTTATTATAATTGTCTTTATTTTGCTGTTTGAATTGTTTTTTTTTTTTTTTTTTTTTACATTTATTTATTTGTGCATGAGCATATGTATGTGAACACTCACGTGCCACAGCACACATGGGAGCCAGAGGACAGCTTTCAGGAATAGCTTCTCTCATTCCAGGAAGTGGCGCTGGGAGATCAAAGTATCAGGCTTTGTGGCGAGCATCTTTACCTGCTGAGCCATCTTGCTGGGCCCCTACCCCGTTTTGCTGTTTGACACAAACAGCTGGCTAACACGATGTAGCTAGCCCAGGCTGGCCTTGAGCTGGGAGCTGCTGTGTGCCTGTGCCTAGTTCATTCTGAAGTTTAGGCTGACCTTGAGGTGATGACAATTCTTCAGCCTCTCAAATGCTAGGATTATAGGCATGAAGCACCATGCCCGACTGCTTTTTTTTTTTTTTTTAATTATATTTAGTGGCTGAGCATAATGACAGTGACCTGTAATCCCAACTACTCAGGAAAGAGAGGCAGGAGGACCACCAGCTCAGGTCCTGCTTGAGCAACTTCATGAGGTGATGTCTCAACAGCAACAAGGGCAGGAGCTAAGGATGTAAACGTCACGGCAAAGCACTTGTTTAGCAAGCACAAGCCCCTGGGTTCAATCTCCAGTACTGGCTATTTAAAAAAAAAAAAACCATACATAACCAGGTAGCTTTCTGAATTTCAAAATGATCTTGTAATCATGTCTTTGGCAAGAAAAAAGAAGTCTTTTGCATTGTGATTAATTTACTGTTTTCCTGAATTACTTGATTTAAAAAAAATACTGAAAACATACTGAATGTCAAAGGCGAAACCGAATGCTAAGCGGTCGATGACGTGGCTCTGTGGGTAAAGGCATTGCTGCTGAGCCCGATGACCTGAGTTCAAGCCTCTGGTCCCACACGGTGGAAGGAGCGAAGCGGCTCACGAAAGTCGTCCTCTGACACCCACATGTGCACACACATAACAAATAAATGTAATTTTAAAAAAAGGCATGTTAGGGGGGCTCTTAACTATTTTTCCATTAGAAACCTCAGTGGCATGAATGCAAGAAGCCGGCCGCTACAAGACTATAGATAATAACACACATGATCCATTTTCTCATATCGACAGTCAGGGGAGCCCCAGAGCCCCAAGCAGCATGACTGGATTTCTCTAGCTGTAAACTGAACCTCGAGTGAGCTGATTACAGTCACTGGGTGGGAAGGAGCGAGGATCGAGCTAGCATTCTGTGGCCTCACCACGAAGTGGTGGTGTCTTCTCCCTTTCTCTCTTGTACGCACTGGGCAGGTGCTCTGCCAGCGAGCTACTTTCCCCAGTCCCCTCCTCTCTCTAAACCACATAGCCGCCCCGGGGTGTAAGGAGGCGGTTTGCCTTGAGATCATCCTCACCACAGCGTGGAGAGACTCAATTTCCACTTGCAGGTGGTGGCACTGCCGTCGGGCCTCCTTGAGTTCAGCCCGAGCTGCCTTCAGAGCTTCTTCATCCTTGTCCATCTTTCTGGTTATATCTTCCTCTAGCTGTAAGAAAGCCAAAAATAACGACAGCGAACAACAACAAGAAACCATAGAGCAGTCTTGAAGAGAGTTGTCTAAAGACAACCATAGAACCGCTGCAGAGGAATCCAATCACTTTTTGTTTTTGTTTTTCCTATTAGATTATAAGAGCATGCTCCGGCGCCCATCGCTAATCAGTGCTTGAGCCTGTCAGTTATGCCCTCAGCCCCAAGCTCCTCTGCTATGAAATGATCTCAAAAAGTTCCTTCCAACTATGGCAGCCCATGAAATACAGAAAAAACAGTAAGCTTTGCTGTTTTAATGAAAAGAACGTTTTCGAGACAAAATTGTGACCTCTGAATCTTTCACTTTCCCGAATGTGTCAGTAAAAAAGATCGGTTGAAATTTAATGATTACTCTCTTATACATATACTTTGTAGGCTGCTTCATAGAGGCAGGTATACAGGCTAGATATCCTCAAGGGGTCAATTCTGTATGTATGGACTGGGAGTAGATACCACTAGGAAACGAATTACTATTCCAGTTAACTGGAAAATTCGTAGGCATCAGTGTTCTTAAGGGAAGTTCTGTGTTACAGAAACCTTTTTACCTTTTCCAAAATGACCTTTTTAGAAGACATCTTCAGTTTGGATATCTGGGGTAGCAAAAATGATCGTGTGTGCGTGTGTTTGCGTGTGTCCATGGAGGTGTATGTTTCTGTGTATGTGTAGCCTATGCATATATGCTAGGGTCAGCCTCGGGTGTGGCTCTTTGGGAGCTTTGTCTTTCTCTTTAATGTTTTCGAAACATGTTCTCTCACTGGGACCTGGGCCTGCTGTTTAGGCTGGAATGGCCGGCCAGCGAGCCTCAGGAACCTGGTTGCCCGTCTGCAGATCTCACTGGTGGATCACAAGTGCCACGCCACCACGGTCCACTGTCAGATGTGGTCCTCAAAATCAAATAGTTTCACAGTAAAACTGAGTTATCCTCTAAGTCCCAAACATACATCTTCATGATAATTTTCTAAATGTTCTCCTCTTGTAAAAACAATCAGGGGGAGACGTAGCTCAGTGGTGGAGTGCCTGCCTAGCAAGCATGGGGGCAGGAGGAAGGTGGGTATTTGTTTTGCTTTAAATGTTTTCATGCTGATGGAATTACAAGAAAACCCCTGTCAACAGCATTATCAACACCAACCTCATTAAGAGCGAGCAATGGATTAAGCTGATCTGAATTAAAAAAAAAAAAAGATAACATTTTACTTTCTTTTAAATTTGTAAATTTTATTATATGGTAGATTTTGTTTGCTGGAGCCAGTAAAAAAAAAAAAAAATCTGCGAATAAAGCTTAGAGCAAGATATTACAGGAAAGGGCTGGAGCATTGGCTCAGTAACTAATCGCAACAGGCAGGAGTTCGGATCCCCAGAACCTATGTCAGCGCTGGGTAAGTGTGGAAGCCCGCTTGCAATCCCATCCTGGGAAGGTGGGATAGGAAAAATCTCAAGTCTGGACTTATCTGTGAGCTCTAGGTTTGACTGAGAGCCCTTTCCTCAACTAACACAGTGGAAGAGCAATGGAGGATGGTTCTCAAGACCACCAACCCTGGATCCCTATTAATATGCATGTGACTCTCACACAGTTCACCCACACACATGCAAACGTGCACACCTAAACACCGCTGCCCCCCGCAAAAAAAAAAAAAAAAAGGAAAAAGAAAAAATGCTGGAGGGATTTTTTTCCCCCATCCGTTCATCACTGGTTCTTAGTGTGAACTTGGCAGAGTCAATCAACCAAATGGCAGCAACCACACAACAGAATGTGAAGGATTTTGGAAACGATACAAGGCTATGGGGACCACTCTTTTGAATTCCCAGTGGGGGAACTGGAAGGAAAACTGTGTGGTAGGTAGAGTGCCAGGACGGTACCTAGTGAACCACTCCTCTGTCCTCAAGTTCACGGCCTGTGATTCGGCCTCTTCAGGTTGAATCAGGCTGCCCCGAGTCTTGCTATGATCAGCTGGCTGTGGTGGAGGTGATGCTGTGCCAATTCTAAGTTAGGCTGCAAGAAGCCTGCCAGCATCCATTATGCTTTTGGGAACCCCGGGCCATCATTTTGGAGGAAATCTGGACACCTGGTTAGAGAGGTCATATAGGGAGGCTGAGTGGAGAGGGACCTGAGATTACAGAGAGGGAAACAGGCTCAAGTGTCCCAAGCTAGGCTTCCAGCACTCCTCTGCCAACGTCCTGAACCCGTTAGCCAGTCACTTGGACAATGCCGGGCCCCGAGGTCACCGCATCCTATCCAGCCTCTCGTGTGGCACCAGAGTCCCCGCAGCCCAGCCCCTTCACCCCCCAGAATCACAGGACAGGGTACAATGGCCTAAATCTTAGCTCATTGAGTTTTGGAAGGTGACTTACTACGCAATGATTGTTTATTTTATTTCTGTTATCTACTTGTGTGGTTCTTGAACCCAGGGCTTTGCAATATGCTGTGATTAATAAACTGACTTTGTGAATTATTTGGGAAAAAAAACTTTTTTTTCAAGAATGTTTATGTTATGAAACATTGTAAATGGAACTTATCAGAGGGTTGATTTTTTTTTTTTTTTTAATTCAAAGTCAGTTCAGCATTGGGATTTTTAAACCAAACTTAGATTTCTACTTTGTAAAATAAAGTACTCATTTGGTTTATAATTCTTAAAAGCTGTCATCTGTTACTATTTTTCTGTATCATGTGGAAGATGAACAAACTTCTATATCTAAACCAACAGCCCAGTGACCTTGTTTAATCTAGAGAGCTGATCATTTTTTTTTTGAAAACTAAAAATGTTACCCACAGGCAAAATTTATAATGAGAGTGCAATAAGCTAATGGAACAAAGTCTTGTGATTTGTTTTTTTTCTAATAGTTTTTTTTTTTTTTTTTCTGTTGTGGTCTTGCAATCTTAAGTAAACGCTTTGCTGTGTCTAGGTGCTGGGAATATAATTTGAACACTGGAATAAGAGACAAGCTAATTAAAAAAACAAACTAAGTTTCTGAAACTTTTGCTTCCCAAGAATTTGCTTTTAAATTTATTTAAATTTGAGGTCTCAACTATTAAAGGTGAGTATCGATTTAAAATCGAGTGTATGGAATTCGAATCGAGCCTTGGTCTGAGTTGGCCGTTTCATTTACTTATTTTAAATACCTCGCAAGCTTTGTGTCAGAAGTAAACAGTTCTCTTAGCCCGGAAGCAAAAAAAATGGGTGCTTTCAAGTACAGAGTCTCTCAGTACCCAGCTGGGGGGGAATTTTGATTGTCAGAATTTGTAACCGTGGTACTGAAAGCCACGTTCACACGCGTGGACGATTCTATTTTTAACAATCAGTATAAAGCTGACTGCGTGGAAAAGATGACAGGAACAGCCTAGAAAGATTTTACTTGCTTTTACCTGCCCCCCACCCCCCCGAGTGTGCAGGCAGACATTCTTGGCTACCAGGCAATTCATCCTACAGACGCTTTTTAAATCGCTTCTACAGTCAAGTCCGTAACCTCTCTGAGGGGTGTTTGGAACGCTTCCTGCCTGAAAAAAGTCTGAAGAGGTCGGAGCGCCCCATCTTATTATGGACGTGGACTCCACGTTCGGGAAGCGACGGTCACCCCACGGTCTCTACATGAAGTTCCGAATTCACCAATCAATGTTTATTGAACGGTCGTTCAATAGAGCGCAGCCCCAGGGTTCTGCCCCTGCCTGTCACCCCAGACCCAGCGCAGAGACACCTCCGCTGCCTCCCCAGTAGCCGCTGCGTGCAGAAGGAAATACTGTACCTCAGAGAGGCCGGGGCAGGACTCGGGTAGACATGGACTGTCTCCTTATCCTGAAGGCGCCTGGCCGAATGAAATCATTACCTGCATCCGTGTGGACAGCACCGTCTCTATCTGATTTCTGGTGAGGAGCTGCTCATAGTTAGCCCTGATCTCATTGAGGAGCTGGGAGAGCTCCATTCTCTTCCCATCCTCCTCCTCCACCTTGGCTAACCGGACCTTGGCGGCGGTGGGAAGAGCCGCAGCCGCAGAGCCTGCCCTGCCTGCGTCGCCTCGCCGGAGCAGACAGCCCCGCGCAGCCTTAAAGATGCAGGGATCCATTTCCCCACCAGAAGCTGGGGGGCTGCGGGTCTGCTCATCAGCTGGGCTGACGGGGACAGCGTCCCCGCCCGCCGTCCTCAGCGCAGAAGGAGCCTCAGAGCCTCCGGGGAGAGAGGACAGTGACACCCGCAGGGCCGCAACCGGGACGGGTCCCCTGCGCAGGGGAAGGCTTTGCCCGTGGGGGGCGGGGCGTTCAATTGCTCTGTGGTCGGGAAAGGGGCCACAAGATCCAGAAGACTGTGGTTAGCCAGGCGTGGTGTGCAGGCGTGTTATCTCAGCACTCGGGCCTTGAGTTCAAGGTCAGTCAGGACTTCATGGTGAGACCCTAAAACAGCAAAGACCCAACCAAACCAGCACCCAAACCCAAAATCAAACACACACACACACATACATACACACACACACACACACACACACACACTATATATATATATGTATATCTCTCTATATAAAAATATATAATATATGTATATATTACATATACATGTAATTTGTATATGAAAATTACATACATATGTAATTTATATACATGCACCCGAGAGCGGAGCGTGATGGAGTGAGGTGAATTACCGACGAAGCAAGGCTGGAGGTGGGCCCTGGAGCAGCGTGGCAGCTGTGAGTTACTGCCAGTGTGGTGAGACAGAGCCCCCCGGTTCCCGTATCGGGGCATCCACCCAGGGAGACTTTCCCGTTACCAGAAAACGTGCAGCCTGTAAGGATGAAGAGCCCCGCTTGGAGGGGTCCAGTGTCCTACCCCGGGTGGTTCATCTCCGTGGCCGCGTCACGTGGGGACTTGGACTGGGCGCTGCGTGCCGTGCTTGCCGCTTCGCTCCCTTCTCACCCGGATTCCTGCTTGAGACGGAGACCGTTGCCAGGCGCCACTGAAATCTTTTTGAGAACGGGCCTGCTGTTATTTACAGAGCGAACGAATCGGGTCTTGGCTCTAGAACCTACCGGGCCTTTGATATGCCTCTTGCTTAAAAAAACCCATGTGTGTGTTGTGGCTTGCCATGGGCACAGGCGTGGAGGTCACAGGGTCACTTGCTGGAATAGTTCCTCTCCTCCCATAAAGCGGTTCCAGGGATCAAACTCAGGTTGTCCGGCTCGTGGCCAGCGTCTTTACCAGCGGACCCTCCTCACGAGCCCACTTATGGCTCTTTTCAGTTTCTGAGTTAACTTATGAATGTTACATTTTTAACTTATGCCTGTGGACACACGTCTGCATATGTGTCTGTGTGGGTGTATGGATGCCTGTGTATTCGGGTACCTGAGACCGGAAGAGGGCGTTGGATCCCTCGGTGAGCCACCTCCCCTCCCCAAATAACCAACGTGGTTACCCGGATTTGAATTCTGCTCCTCCTTATTGAGCAACAAGTGCTCTTAGCCACCGAATCACCTCGCCAGCCCCCGAGTTAAACTAAACTCAACTTAAACTCAGGAGCGAAAGATTAAGTGATCCTTCTTATTTCGGGTGGCTCCTGCCCCGAACCCAGAGAGCTGAGGTAGATGCGTTGGAGGTCACACCCGGCAGTCTCCCCGTATTTCTTGTGACCCGAAGCCAGTGCCTCTCGGAGAAACACAGCCGCGAACTACAAATGCAAGCTATGTGCGTTGTTTCAAATGCTCTACGAATCACATCAAAAGATAGGAAAATAGACAGGTGAAATTGGTTTTAACATTGTGTTCTGCTTAACCCCTACCTACAGAAAATATGATAATATAAAACATCTACATTCTTTACTCTTAATGCTGTCTTTGAAATATATATATATATATATATATATATATATATATATATATATATTACACCCCATCTCAGTTTGGGCAGGCCACATTTAAAGTATTCAGTAGGGTTCTGGGGGTGGGGGATGGCTCAGCTGGTAACTCGCCTGCCGTAGGAGGGTGAGGACCTGTGTTTGGAGGCCCAGTCCTTGTAGCGACGTGCAGTTGTAACTCCGGCATTTCAGGGGCAAAGCAGGCAGATCCCTGGAACTTACTGGCCATCCACCCTAACTGGACTCTCGAGCTCGAGGTTCAGTGGCAGGGCAGACCCCGCCTGAAAAGAAGGTGGGGATCGCTGGAGAAGACCCCCGACACCGACCTCTGGCTCATAGGCGCAGGCACACACGTTTATGAATCCACACACAAATGCACACACACACACACGCACACACAGCAATGAATGGCGTTTAATAGGTCGGGGGGTATCTTCAGCTGTAGAGAGTTTGCCTAGAATGTGCCAAGTCCTAGGTTCTATTCCCTCCTTAGCCCCTCACACCCTACCCCTCCTCAAACCCCCCTTCTCCCCCCCTCCCCTCCCCCTTCATCCCCACCCTCTGTACCACAGAAAAATAAGAAACCTGTCCTTGTAGCTACTGGGTACGGCGTACTTGTACTGGTACTTGAGCCCCTTGCCGGGAACACTCCTCACGCACACCATGACATACTATTCACATACTTGCCCACGCACAAAAGCAGTGATGCCAGGCTGGTTCTGAGGGGTTAGTATTTACACATCTGTCGTCCCTTTTTAAAAAGGAAGCGTGGGGCTGGAGAGATGGCTCATTGGTTAAGAGCCCTGGCTGCTCTTCCAGAGGTCCTGAGTTCAATTCCCAGCACCCACATGGTGACTCACATCCATCTATGATGAGATCTGGCGCCCTCTTCTGGTATATATGTAATAAATAAATAAATAAATAAAATAAATCAAAAAAAAAAAAAAAGGAAGCATGTAGCTGCTTTTGAAAAACAATGCTCTTTATTAAGAAAACCGGTCACAATAGCTCAATCAAACATTGTGGGGTTCATGCAATTCTCGGTCCTCTGGGTTGTGGGCTTCAGAATCCTATCAGAATAAATGAGTGTGGGCGCCATTCTTACAGAGATGACCATAAATCCGCTCTCAGCGGTGCCCGTGCTCTTGTGCTCATTGCAGTATTCACAGTAGTCATGCTGTGGCAACAGGCTATGGGTGGGAGGTGGAGTAGGTCACGGGGAACTGAAGGTCAAAGGGCACCAAGTGTCAGGTGGGTAGGGTGGCTAATCCTGGAGATCTATTTTCTAGTTTTGCCTTTTATGAGATAGAGCCTCTCTGTGTAGCCCTGGCTGTCCTGAAATTCTCTTTGTAGACTAGGCTGGCCTCGAACTCACAGAGATCAGCCTGATTCTGCTTCCAGAGGGCTGGGATTAAAGGCGTGCATCACCACTTCCGGCAAGCCTAGAGATCTAATGCACACAGTTCATGAAGTTATTTGGTATGTGGGATTTTTACTGAATAGAGTTTAGCTGCCCTCCTGTCACTAACAAAGGAACTGTGTGAGCTGGCAGAGAAATGCATTCTCTTCATTATGGAAGCCACTTTCCCTCCTCTGCGTACACCACAGCGTCAGCGTCGCAGGCTTCAAATGCACACCATAAACATTGATGTGAAAAAGAGACACCTGAAGAAAAAGGGGCACGCCTCCTTTATTTTCAGTGGGTGCTACTAAGCCTCACACCCCCTGGCACCCCATTGAAATTAAGTTAGTCAGGGGCTGGACAGATGGCTCAGAGGTTAAGAGCATTGGCTGCTTTTCTAGGGGTCCTGAGTTCAACTCCCAGCAACCACATGGTGGCTCACAACCATCTATAGTGAGATCTGATGCCCTCTTCTGGTGTGCAGGTGCACATGCAGGCAGAACACTGTCTACACAGTAAACAAATAAATCTTGTAAAAAATTAATGTAGTCTGTTTTTTGACAACTTCATATGCATGTATAATGTATTCTAAATGCTCTCCTCTGTACTCCTTTTTACAAAAATATTTGCCTCTCTCTCTCTCTCTCTCTCTCTCTCTCTCTCTCAATAGATATATTGATCGATATATCTATTTTCAAGACAGGGTTTTTCAATGTAGTCCTGGCTGTCCTGGAACTCACTCTGTGGACCAGGCTGGCCTCGAACTCTCAAAGATTCTTCTGCCTCTGCCTTCCGAGTGGTGGGATCAAAGGTGTGTGCCGTCACTCCCGGTGGATTTATTTATTTTTGTTATATGTGTAATGGGGTACAGGGCATATCTGTGTACCAGGTGCATGCAGTGCCCGGAGAGGCCAGAAGAGGGAGCCTGAACCCCTAGAGTTGAGGACTCTCATCTCTACATCCCTCTCCTTCCTCCCCACGCTGCCACATCAATCCCTGTTCCAGATTCACGACTTCAGGGGATCTGAACTTATACTTATTTAGTGTTAACATAGCCCTCTGTGTGAGCGTTTGCTTGGGACTATCCGCTGGGACAATCCGCTGGGATCGGCAGTGGATACACTGCAGAAGGCAATGACCCCGCTCGGTAAGTCTCTCAGGAGCAAACACTTCAGCGCGCTGGACTGTTCATGGACCTGCTCTTGTGCAGACCCAGGGCAGGTACCTGCAGCTGCTTTGAGTTCATGATTGCAATGGCTTATCCTTTGGCTCTTGACATTCTTTCTGCGCCGTCTTCCTAGGCGCTCCCTGAGTCTTAGACGGAATATTATATACCTCTTCTTTAGGGCTGAGTTCTCATCTGTAACTTATTCCCAGAACCTGCTCCCATGAGTCTCCACATTTACCCGCACCCACTATGAAGAAACCCTTTATGTAATTATTAATTTTTAAAAACTGTTTTGGAGACAGGGTTCTATGTAACCCAGGCTGGAATTGAATTTTCCGTGCAGCCAAGAGTGGATTTGACCTTCTGATGACTGTGTCTCTATCTCCCTAGTGCTGGGATGATTGGCTTCTGCTACCGTACTCAGTTTATGTGGTGCTGGAGATCCAGAGCTTTGTACTCGCAGCTTAAGTCCCCTGCCGACTGAGCTCCACCTCCAAGCCAGGCCTCTGGCTTTTAAGCCCGCAGCCATCCTCTCCCATGCGTCCTCCCACACGTGAGGGCTCGAAGGCTGGCGGCAAAGAGATACAGGCAGCTTGTTTGTCCTCTTTCCCCTTAGTGCGGGAAGGCAGCTCTCTCAAGGGTGGGCTGGAGATCCCTGCCCTTGGTGCTGGAAGCTCAGTTGCATAACGTGTCTGGCTCGTTCACCAT